TTTTGTTCATTTTTTCGACGTGATGCAATCGTTACTACCTTACAGTTAGTGATTTTTTTTACATTATTTTGAATATTTTTTAGATTTCATGGATTTTCATTCGAAATATACTCTGGGAACGTTTATTGAAAGTGGTTCATTCGGTGAAGTTTGTCGTATCAGCAGAAATGCAGACGGAGCTGAGGTGAAATTTCAGTTTTATACAGTACCATTAGGTCTTCACTATTTACCTGACTGGAATATCGTATAATACAAAAAAATTATGAAAAAAACGTTCAAGAAGGTAAACTAGTTTTTTTGTGCAAAATTTGTCCAAGGAAATGAAAACCGGATTCAAATATTATCTAGAATCCCAAAAATAGAAGCAGAAAGGAACTACCGGGTTGGACTGTAGCCAAGGCAAAAACCAAGTCTCAATATACCCTGAGATACCAGAAACTTAGCCTGTTCAGAGGCTCCAAGCTAACCAGCTTCCGGTCACTTCTCCTTCAAACTTGGAGGAAAACCCATTCCTCCAAGTTTGAAGGAGAAGACCATGAATTGCCGAGAAATCTTTGTTTCTATCTTTTACAGGGGCCACAGGCATAGGAGTCAGCGGTCTATGGGCCCGGAAAGGGCTTTTCTCTGTTTACTACATTTTTTTCGTTATTGTTTTAATTCGTATTTGTCTCTTTTTTCCTTTCGATACTAATTCAATTTTTCTGCAAAACCAATTTGTTTATACTATGCAGCCCACCCACGGCAATCGAATTATCCCTACTTGGTATACATCAGTGTGGGCTACTGTTTACAGACAATATTATGGTAATATTGTTACCATATTCCAATCATAGTAATAACATTGGGCATACCCAGAAAACAAGCTCATCCTGGCATCTGAGCAATCACGTTCAAAAGTTTAATAAGCTTAAGCCTAAATGTAGCTATAAACTATGTATGTAGCGGTTTTCCCTTAGTAATAGTAAGTAATAGTAATGGTTCCCTTAAAAAATTTTTATTTTTTTTAGCTAGCCTTAAAGACGATCTACAAATCGAAACTACCTCAGTATGCATGTGTTACTCGTGGTGGTTATCCAGTAGAAGTGGAAATGTTAAAAAAGCTAGAACATCCTCACATCATAAAAGTAAGTTCATCGATTATTTTTATTATTTTTCAGATTTGATTGTAAACAACTTTTCTTTACCTAGATACAAACCCTTTGGGGACCCAAATTGGGTGTCTGAATTGAAAAACAGTTTCGGATGCACAATTTACGAAAAAAAGTTTTCCAATATTTCCCAACGAGGGCGAACCTCTTGCCTCCAAGATGGAATGTGGGTAGCGGTCTGGTAAGAAACGGTCTAGGTAGGACACAATAGGGGCTCAAGGGCGTGCTTCACTAACGTCTACACCGCAAAAGATGACCGCTAAGGAACAAGGTCGGCTGAGCTTAATCACAGTGTATTTCATTGTTTATACCATTTGAGACATCATCCTAAGCTTGAGAAAAGTACAAAGTTTTCAAGGGAAAAATCTCGTGCTCAATTAGATCATTTCTAGTTTTCACCTTCGAAAAAATTATGTCTCATAATAATACCATGCACATATTCCAGTTTGTCGACTCATTCGAAGATGCGAAGTCTTTTCTCCTAGTAATGGAATTGGTAGATAATTCTATCGACTTATATGATTTCACAATGAAACGCATTGATATGTCAGAAGAATTGTTAGCGTACATTTTTGCTCAGGTTCGTTGATCCTTATCTGTTCGACTGAAGTGCAAATAGATTAAACTTGCCTCCGCTTCAAAATGTTGATTTGCACGGTACTGGTGTTCTCTGCCATCCTTGGTCTCCCCAAATCTACACCATCGCTTTTTGCCAGCCGCGCGACTTCGCCTAGTTTAGCAGTCAATGGCTGCTTTCATAGTCCGCGATCCGGCCCGCGAGCGCGAGCGAGTGTTCCGACCAGGGGCGGTGCTTACCCCTTTACAACTGACTCTTGGTCGATAACGCCGTCGAGTAGTTCCCCGGCCGTCGCGCTCGCGGGCCGGATCGCGGACTATGAAAGCGGCCAGTGGTAACTGTCATTCGCTGCTTTTCGTAGATGACGTCATTCCGCACACAGTACCCACGCGATCGATTTTGAGGGTCTTGCTTATACTGTACATAAAGAATAGCCTTATGCTAGATGAAATTTTGACGAACTAATTCGTACCAGCGCTTTCCAGTGAGAAACGTGCCCATTGTGAATACCCTTCATATCTCGTTGCTAGGGATAGCATGCGCAGATGAGTAATTACTTAAAAACTTGTGATTACGCTGAGCGCACTATGAATATGTTATGAGGTTTGAGCCTTCAGCGTGCTCTCGTTGGTAGTTTATTGCGCGTAGTACGGTAGTCCAGGTTTCTCCGCCCTCTCACCGTGCCCCCATCCAGCCAAATGAAAATCTAATCAAACAAACCCATATCAAAAGAGTACTTTGGAGTTATGAGCTCATGCTTCGCTCAAACCTGCGAGCAATTGTATATACTGAACATCCTGATCTTCAGTACAGTACTTCACGTTCAGATAGCCGATGCTCTACTTTTCCTTCATTCTCACGATATAGCTCATCTTGATATGAAATTGGAAAATGTCGTCATGGATGAGTGCCTTAATTGTGAGTCAGGCCTTTTATTTACTTTATTTATTTATTTACTTTATATTTATTTATTTATTTATTTTTATTATGTATACTTACTTATGAGGAATTCTAACGTGAATTCCAACTAAAAATTCAATTACTTTAGGTAAATTGGTGGACTTTGGTAGCGCAGCTACGTGCAGGGATGATGACGTCTTTCACTTCCCTAGGTGTTCTGAGCCAGCTTGTAGTCCTGAAATATGGAGCGGGCAAAGGTTCGTTTTGAAATTTGAAGACAACATAGTTTTTGGGAACTCAGGCGATCGGTGTTTATCTGATCTCAAAGAAAGGGGACGAACTGGGCTTGTAGCAGAGCTTTAATGCCATTCACGTTTCCCTATTGGTGACGGTTTTTACTACCGATTCGTAATACTGCACCACACGCAGGATTATTAGTTGTTCATATGACACATGTACAATGCTCATCGTGTCTACAGTCAAACACATAAGGAATGTGCAATCTTGTGGGAGGGGAGACGGGCAGTAGGAACGGTTTCAAGTAATCGATCAGCCGCACGCGGCTGTCGCGGACCATTTGCTTCGTTGTATCAGTTCTAGCGTTCTTCTTACAGCTCAATCGCTTTGCGACTATTACTTCTCTCATGATCTACTGTTAGTTGTTCGTTCCTGTACTTCTCAATTGCCGCTGCATTCTGCTACACTCCTTCGCGCGCGGCGTCTCTCTCGCCGCGAGCGACCATTTCGTTCCTACCGCACCACACCCCTGCTCCCGCAAGGGTGGGAGCAGTGCCTTTTGAGGTTTGGTGTTTGCGGCATTTGAGCGTGCGCTCACGGGACGGCTAATTCTGTGGAACATGTAGGATTATATACTCGCAATAGCGGACTTCAAACCTATAACCATATATCATTACTTTTTTACTTGGTAGCTATAACTGGTAGTTATAATAACAACATTTTCCTGATATAGACAAGTCATACTAAAAAGTAGTACGCAAGGGGAAGTTCAAGTGAAAAAGAAGATGATTTCGCCGATGTCTATTGATCTTATAGCTGCTGTATTTTCAAAGATAATTTGGACAGCATACTGTACAGTAGGTTCCTGTCCTTCAATGACGCCAGCTAGCCCACACATGAGGAGCTATTTGTCGGAATAGAGTTCACCTATTGTTAATCTGCCAAAAAGGTTCCGATAATGATGTTTATTACGGAAGCAAAACCAACGAATAACAACTTACTGGAGCAATCATACAACTTTATTCAACTTCAAGGTAAAAAGTAATTTGATACGACTTTTAAAGACACAATTTTTTTAAAAGAGAAATTATGTATTGAAGAAGAACGAAAACATCTTTAATGATGGGGTGATGCTAAGAAAAAGGGCACTACTATCTTTGGAGGAAGGATTAGTCCTAATCACGCCTACCGAGGCTTTCATTTTTCATTTCGTTTTTATCTTAGGTCAGGAGAAATTTGTATATTCATACCGAGAGTTCACTTGGTACCCGCCAGTTTAGTCGAGCCTTCCTTTCCTCCGAGTCGGTTAATCAGTACCAGGGGGTGTGGTGCACTAGGAACGAAATTGTCGCGTCGCGGCGAGAGAGACGCCGCGCGCGAAGGAAAGTAGCAGAATGCAGCAGCAAGTAAGAAAAACAGGAGCAAAAGAACTAGCAGTAGAATCATGCCAAAGGTAATAAACGCATAGCGATTGAGTTGATGAAAAACGCTAGAGCTGATAACGAAGCAAATTACCCGCGACAGCCGCGTGCGGCGAATCGATTACACAAAACCTTACCTACTGACCGTCTCACAGTAGCAGGATTTTCCATGAGGACAAAAAAGCTGGCTTTCACATTGGCTACACAACATGATTCATTGGATAGACCACGTACACATTCTTAAGGTCCCTACGATTGCGATAAAAGTTGAATGCGGAGGCACAATCTTAAACCGGGGATAATTGACGTCGAAAACTCTATCCTTGGCATGTAGTAACGATGATCATGGTCTATCCTTGACACTTTTGCAGAGAAACTCCTTTAACAAGGAGCGCATTTTTGATGGGCAAATATTTCAAGTCAGAAAAAACTACCAGATTTTTTGCCACCAACTAAATACTACAAAATCAGTTCTAAGTAGGAATTGGTGATAAACCTGCAATTATATGTATGAATACATTGAGGTATATTACAGCTTCAACGGTAAAGATGCTGACTGCTGGGCGCTGGGTGTACTGCTCTATCGGCTGTGCTATCGTGAAACCCCTTTCATTTCCTGTGACGAAGCCCTTAGTCTGGATTATGTGTTGCCTGATGATGTATCAGCTGGTAAGTTGGAATTTTTGTCGGCAAATTTTAGTAATTATCTCCGCCTGTGTTCAGAGCTAGACGACCTCTTCTCGCGTATTTTTCATGAGACAGCTACCTGCCGGGCAGCCGCGTGGGAGATCCGTTATCATCAGTGGACGAGATCAGGCAATCGAGGCGATTACTTCTTATCTGACTTGATTGAGAAAGGTATGACATGGTGAAAAGTAGCCAACATGCTTCGACTATACTTCCGTGCCCGTGTGACGCGGTGCGCGGCGAGCGCCTGCGATGACGCGCATTGCCTCACGCCGCGAGAAGCGCAACGCGTCACGCAAGCACGAGACAACAAAGCTAGTCTCCGAAGGGGGAGCAGTTGGTGTATAAAGCTCAAATTTGAGAGGTTGCTGGTAAAGAATCGTTCCACAAAGGATCACTTTCAGACAGCAGCCGCAACTCAATCGAAGAAGAGGACAGCACTGAAGACGGTGGCTATCTTTCGGAGAAGTAGATTACAAAACAGTGAAATATGGGTACTATCACGGGTTAGAGAATTATTGATACAAAGTATATTAATAAAGTTCTATCATGTATTGGATTCATCATCTACATCATTTCCTCATCACCAAACCGATTGAATTTTGATGCTTAGTGGTCAGAATGCTCGGAAAGAGCATGAGGAGATACTGCGCAGTAGTGTCATGGGCAAGGGCGGTGCCTGAAAGTCACGAGACTGCCAGGTTCGAACCCTACGTAAGGTATTTGCTCTCGTTTGTAAGCCAGCATTTTTTCGGCGAACTCTACTGAAGACTGAACGTATGAAACGGTATCACAAGAGCTTATAAAAGTGGCTGCTTTCATAGTCCACGATTTGGCGAGCGACCGATCGCACGACTGATCGCCGAGTGATTGCGCGACTGGTCCTCGGTCGCTCGCTCGATCGGTCGCGCGATCGGTAGCTCGCCAAATCGTGGACTATGAAAGCAGCCAGTGCGTTTAACATGTACACCATTTACTAAAGTTTTATTTCGAAAAACACAGTGGTTATGGATTCGAGTAGCATAGAAGAAGCGAACGTTCCACGGCCCAAGAATGGAATTTCTAACAATTACAATAAACTAATTCACGTATAAAAAGGTAGACGTTTCTTTCGTTGGAAAAAATTGTCAACGCAGTGACGTCACACAATGAAGATAATCAGCTGATAATCATTTTGTGCGATATGGCGGTGGAGGACGGAACAGTTCATCGTATGTTGGTGGAGGCGATGTTTGGTGTTGTATTGTTCCACCTCCGGAAGCCGCATAGGCTCCAGCGTTCTTCTTCGCTTCGATTTCCTTGATGGGAGTATCCAACTCACCAAAATTAACTCCTAAAAATGAAGTTATTCAACCTGTAACACCATCTGATCTCAATATAATCTATATCCAAACAAATGAATCATAATTCACACACTGAGCGTGTGGGCGGAGCTGCCGAGACCACCGCGCGCTTCTGATTGGTCTACCAAATGGCATGCTCTTCACTGGTCTACCGATGAGGAGCCCGCACAGAAATTTAGTAATTCCACTCACACAAGAATTGAAAAAAAATTCCGTGCAATAAAAATGAACACTCACTGCAGACGTGACGTCTACCGAGGTGCTTCTTGAAGTTGCTTTCAGACCTGAAGTTTGATAATTAGATTTAAAAATGGAAAAAAGTGGAAAAATAAGCATTAGGTGACGACCTTCTAAGTAACGAACCTCTTCTGGAGGAGTTCCTTGAGTGCAATAATTGGCACGGACATGGCAAAAGCGGCTCCAGCCACAAGCACGATTGGTGCTGCGAGTGACGTCATTGTGTGACGTCACTTATTTAGATGCTAACAACGTGAATGACTATAGGGGCCTGTGTAGGCAAGTCCTAAAAAAGTTCAATCATTACAGTAAGATCGCTTGGTAAAGGACTTGTGCCCTATTGTGTCCCGCTACTGATGCCTTCGAACTCATTTTCATACATGGCGTCCGGCCGCTAGCCTTCACTAGCACACAGCCAAAAAACCTTGTTCATCTAATGAGATAGTGTTCGCGTCTGAGAGACGCAGGACAGCACAGATAAAGTGATTGGATCTCAGCGAAAATGTCGCGCGCGAAGCTCAGGAAACGCTAAGTATAAAATTCGACTTAATAAGTATGTTCCATAGTACAACTATAGCAGCTTTTCCACTTCATTTTCGAAAAGTAAACTTTGAACACAACCAAATACAATGCTCACAACATTTGGATGCTCACCTATCCAAATTCGTCAAGGTTGGAAGGGAAGCAGCGGAAGAAGATTAGCGGAGCCAAGATGATAGACGGCGAAGGCACAAAGACCTTCAACGACGTTTTTCAGGAATAAATACGATACAGAAAAACAATACATAATATCAAAAAAACTTGTAAAATTACGAAAAAAAAGAATTTTTCCAAAGTGAAAATAATTCAGAAGGAATGAGTACGATACCATACCAGCAAGGTTTATTGAATGTGAGCGATGGGAGAGAGCGTGATCGACGGAATCGATGCGATGCGGATGATAGCGATGGTAAACCGGGTAGTACGTCTTTTATACGAAATCAAATTTATGTAAATGTGGTTACACCGCGTGTAGAGACACAAATAATCGGTCGCGCGCCGTTCAGTACGCACGAAAATATGGAACGGGCCATATGAACGCAGATAGATGGGTGACAGGAAAAGTGCACGTATTTGACGAGACCGTGACAGTAAGTGAACGTCATCACTGGGTCTGTCCGGGACAGTATCGACAAGGATTTGGGGAATGCGAAATTAGAGATTTTCGGGGTTATGACGGCGTCAAGTTCAGCGGTTGATTTTACCCCCCATGTCGGTTTCACAGTGTTTTATTCACGTTTGCACGTGCTTCATTCATGTCCCATGGATTTCATAAGCTATTACGGTACAGTAATGTACAAGGTACAAAGATCCCAGCTCTTACTAGTTCTGTTGCTCCGTTGACTGATTGTTACGAGTTTTTTTTCAGCTGATGGGCTGATGGCATGAAGACCACGCCATCACCCCATCAGCCTATCGAGCAAAATCTTTCAACAAAACATAGCCATTTCGAAACATAACAGTACCTAGGATATTTACAGCCCAATGAATCACTACAACAGCTGAATAAATAATTAATGTTGTTAGAAGTAAAGTTGTCTGGCTAAGGTAGAGTAGCGCCTAAGGGCGCCGCTATACGCGACTGGTGCGGCGATCAAGTTTAGGATGGGGATTCGCTCTGATATGTATAGCGTTTGGCCTTGTAGGTGGTTGTATAGCCATCTTCCAAAGCCACCGCGAATCCGTTCCGTCGGACTGTCGACCGCAACGCGGAAATATCGCGTGGTTCAGTGAGAAGAAGTGTAAATGTACCTTTGTCTATTAACTTCTCTACTGCACTTTGTTGGTCATACTAGTAGTGTAAAGTAAATGGGCATGTTGTAATGTACCCTTTAAACATAAGGCTTATTTTGTAAGATTTGAAAGAACTCATTTTCATACATTACGGTTTTATTCACGGAGGCTTAAATGTGCTTAAACCTGTTTACACAACAAATCGATATTCCTGATCGATTTGCCACGCGGAAAGCACTCACGGCAGCCGCCTGACTGAAGTGTATAATATGATAGTATGATTACGAAATTACCAGTATAATCTTGACAATCTTCTTACTCTTAAAATGAATAAACAGCCTGTCACCAACCAAACCATTCCCGAGAGAATCGAACACTTACTAAAAAACCCGAATATCTCAGGAGCCCATGTTAAATTCTCCTACTCACTACAGCCTAGTGAGCAGGGTGAAGCATGGGGCCAGGGGACGTTGCTACTCAAAACTATCTCTTTCCTCACCCTCTCCCCTATTCCTCACGGACTTCTTCAGTCCCCTACCCATTTCTTTAGCTCTTCCGTATTTCGCGTCGACGAACGATGTGGATAGGGAGTGGAGAGGTGAATTTCGACTACCTTTAATCAGCTATTCCAACTCCCCCCTGGTCCTAGATTTCTCAGACATACACTTGACCGTAGCTGTGTCCCAGTGTCACTAGAAAACCGCTCAGCAGTACCTTCGCTTCTTAACTGCTCCGTTGCAGACCAGGCAAAAGTTGAGTTCTGTTCGCATATGAACGGTTCACAAAGAGTTTTTCAGAAAAGTCTAGCTGAGAAATCACACCATCACAATGAAAATGCATAGTTTCGTCCATGAAACAGAAAGGTTCAAGTAAACCGCCATCAGAATACGAAGAGATATACAGAAGGTACAGAACAAGAGAAACACAGAGGTCTGGAACCAGTTACTAACTTTTTTGTGTAACTAGCAGCAAAAAGATGTCAGAAGAAACGCCATTTAGGCTAGTCTTTGAAGTAGGAAGTTGGAACAAGCTTGGAACGGAAGGAAGGCGATCATGTAATGGCGATTTAATGAATAAGTGAAATGATGATAAGGAATGTGGGACGATGTTATTCGATTCAACCAGGACCAGATGAAACCGCCCCAAATTGCCGTTCAGCGAATACGTCAATCTCATTACGACACATCACACACTACAAACTACAATCGCGATACATTGGTAGTGATCTCTGAATTACTGCAGCGCTGATGACACATGGCGATATTTCTTCGTCAAAACATACTGACATGATCTGGGTTGGTGTATTCTAGGGAATTTCCCAACCAGAAACAAGCGCACAGTAGCGAGGAGTTCTTAGCCGAGAGGATAGTTTTTAACCATTCTTAGAAAGTACGTATACGAGGGTTGCCCTTTTATATTTCGGGATTGGGCAACCCTAGGGATGCAATCTGGCAACTGACAGCTCTATCGTAGAGGTTGACATTTCTGAGGTTATACTTACTCAGAACGTTTTGACATATGAGCGCTCTTTGTGTTGTTTACACTAACTTAAAAAATTTACTTACAAGGGAAGGATACTATGTCGCAGTGGCCATTCAAGATGTGATGTGTACCCCGTAGGTGGTTTCGGACGCTGATCTCAAATCTGTGTTCCAAACCTGCGAAACGATTCTGGGTACATAGTTACGGGACCGGTGCCTCCCTGTGTTATACCACTGTACTGAACGGATCACCGAGCAGAGCCCTTTTCTGTGCAACGGTGTCCTAGCGGGTAGTATGGTGGAGGTAGACTTGACATCAAGGTTCGACTCCTTGTTGCGTTCTCACTTCTTGCTTTTCCATAAAATGAGGGCTTAACGCTTGCAAAACGTTTTTGGGGCTCAATGTTAGGCATATACGGGGCTCCCTCACAGCTTAGGAAGAGTGGGAAGGTATTACAGAGAACGCTTTTTTTTTTGCCCCTCACCGGCCCAATATTTTTGTAGCTCACTCGAACAAAAGAGGAATTCTGAACAATCGCTCAAAATGGACTTCAGAAGCTTCAAGGAGGTTGGTTTCAAATGATTCATCGGATCAAACCCTCTTCAACATGTTACCAGCGAATCTACTGAGCGAAGGAGGTGTCATCATACTTGATAGGGGACTTTTGTTCTTGCAGCATAACGGTGGGCACCATATAGGAAGAGGCGGTAATGAAGAGCTTTTGAACCGTACGTGTTGTGCTATGAAAACAAGCTAGTTATCCTCTGCGAGGAAGTCGAATCCGTGAAAAGCGATCACAATGATCCTCTGCGGCTGCTTGATGAGGACAACGACGATGGACCCGTAGCTTCGCAAATGAAACCTCATACGTTTGTGGGGATATAGAGGCTCCGAAGTGAAGCGTAACCTTCAAGTTTGTGATCTGTCTCATGAGTTCCAATTTTATGGCGCTGGCAGAAGAGCTCATAGCCTTCTATAGTAGGAGTGTCAGAAGGAGCCGCACCTCCTCGAACATGAGGAACGCGTTTTGTATCATCACACAGAGTGCCATCCAAGGAAATTAAGAGGGCATGAGTCTTCTAGTTAGTCTATTACTGACAACATACGATGTCTTATGTGGTCGCAACTATCAGGTGCAAATCAAGCGGGCCAATCTGCCTACCTGTGGAGACTGGCGGATTAGTTAGAAAGATGAGTTATCATAAAATTAAAATAGGAGTTTCATTGCGCGACAGTCATTTTCACTGGATACCGCTTCAAATCAACAATGAAGGCTCATAAGGGAAGAATTCAAAACAATTCATAGGTGAATTCAGGGTTTTGAGGACAGTCGTGGTATCATGTCCCACCGCACCACCACTTTTACCTCATGGAAGCGCTCCTTGAAAGGGCGTTTACCTCAAGAATGAGCGGATAATCATATGTACACACGAAGCAATAAACTATTGTTCTACAGTACTTTTTCTACAATCCCATTTATCTTGTACCACCGCTTCGGAAGTGCGCGTATAGTATCCCTAGAATGTGTGGACCGTATCCCTCCCAAAGAAGGCGCTGGTCAGATGAGTCATTCGACCGCGGTCTGCCGTAAGTACAGGGAGCTGCAGAAAATTTCAAAACATCATTTTGACTGTTCTGGGGTAGACAGGCATATATATTCGGTGAGTAGTGGTAAAAAATTTTTATTGGATTACTATTCCCCGGAGTCCTTAATTGCGAGGGAGCCCCGTAGATCCCCCCAAAAACGTTTTGCAAGCGTTTAGGACGCATTTTATGGAAAAAAAA